GAATACTACGCTTTTTCCGAAATCGGAGAAACTTTTGCAACACTGAGACGAAATGAAAACTATATCGGAAGAATTTCACGAAAAACGTTTCATCATTGTTCGTTTTGTGACGAAATCAAGGAGAAAAAAACTACGTGAAACTTTTTCCTGGAGCAAATACCATCGAAAGTTATGGTCGTCAAATAAGTTTTACCATAAGAAGAAAATTTTTGTCCAAATTTCAATTTTACTATTTTTATATATAAATTATATACGTAGTAAAACGTGATTCATACTTGTCAAATAATTATTTGTTTTCTTGGAAATTAATGATAGAAATAAAATTATATTTAAATTCTTATATACAAATACTAGATTGGGAAACTTATCAAATGTTTCATCTTTGATATAATAAAAAATATAATATTGTATAATCGAGGCAATTCATATTCCAGTATATAATATATATATATATATATATATATATATATATATAAATATAGGAGAATATTAAAGAACTTATCAACATTTTAGTATATATTAATGTTGTGTTTTGAACACAAAATTCAAATAAAAAACTGATTATAATAAAAAAAAAAACATAAAATTTGTATTTTGTTTCAAGTTTATTTTAAGATTTTGAGTTCTAGAAACTAAGTAGGGTTATATTCAGGTCATCCACGTGACGAATTTACCACTCGATATATCACTTACAAATTAATATTATCTTTTTAAATTATTATTAAGAAAACTTAATATTACAAGGCATGCTATTTTTTAAAGTAGATTAGTCTCTTTGTGCTGATATAGTTCTTGAGTTATACATGTTATAGGACATATATACAAATATTAATATATATATATATATATATATATATATATATATATATATATATATACCCGAATAGAAATAATTGCATGTGTATTTTTCTCAATATGTGTGCTCATATAAGTTTGTCGTAATACATACAAAAGCGGATGGCATATATCAATGCTCATGAATAACGTATTTGCATTTTTTCCGCCAAGAGGAAACTAGGTAAATATAAGAAAGATATTCATGGCAACATTTAAATGAAGACTCATCTTTATGCTAAAGCTTGTGTATATCAAATATATTTATACAAAATTTGAATAACAAAGCAGAATTCTATATTAAATAGAAAAATATTTGCCTTTAATTTAATATCACATTTTTTCTTTGATTAAATATCATAATAATAATTATTTACTGAATATTAAACAAATACACTTGCATTAAATAAAGCACGAATGAAGCATGGTATTGTCTAAAATAGCAAGATTCAGAAAAAAATGTTCAAAATTCTATTTCCTTAAATAAGATCATATTATTGAAGTATTTTTCTTATCTAGATTTTCAATATAAATGATGCCTAACTTTAAGAAAAGACCAAACATTTAAATAAAATTATATTAATTATGCAGCAAATATTCTGAATTGTTGCAAAATAATATGCGGGGCCAGGCTATCTAAAGCAGCATTTCAATTTGTGTTACGAAATTGAATATTTTTTAGGACATAAAGATGTATAATATATTAGTTTAGATTCAACATTTAGTTAGTATTAGTTATTATTATACACCAATCTGATAAATTAGTAAGACGATTGAAAAATAAACCAATAAATGTAATAAATTAGTACGTTGATGAAAACGAAATTAACACTAAAAGCTAAAGAGAATAAAAGCTAAGGTTTTTCTAAATATAACAATGTACTAATATATAATAATATAGTAATGAGTTATTCCAGGCCAATTAAAAAACTGAGTATCTAATAATTACAGATTTATTAGATCCGTACATATCGGTCTAATCGAAATCAGATTGAAATTGAAAAGATCACATTTTATGTGATATTAATAATATAATTTAACAATCAGAAATACACTTGCATTAAGAACACAATGCTATGGAAAATCCAAGCCATTTCCTTAAATGTGATCCAAGCAATAATTGGAATGTCGAGGCAATTGTTAACATATATATGTCTAACTGTTCAAAAACTTAACTAGGCGTTTTTTCAGAAGTTTTTTGAGGTGAGGGATGGTAATAAAATTATTACTCTTTCATACAGTTTTTAGTAATATTCGGTCAACGGATATTTTGTGGAAACTATAAATAGAATAATTATCATTTGAATGTATGCATTATCTTTAATATCATTGTTAGTGGTCTTGGCCGGAACCGGATTTATTGTATGAAAATAGAAGACGTTTTGGTACAGAAAGATAAGATCAATATTATACTATTCATATCAAATTTTATATATAAAAACAATTGCTTTTGATTAGTATAGTATTAAAATAGTGTCTATATGTAAGTTCTAAGAATATATATTAGTATAGCCAGATATAAGGTCGATCGGATGCTCAGTTCAGCGCCAACTCTTCCATTAATCGTCCATCACAATAACTGTTGATTCTAATCGCAGCATGCAATCTACCGCAGCAATACTTTTTCAGCATACTATATAGATCACCCAGTTTCGGGATAAAGTGCCCATTTCTCTGCATTTCCGAAAAGGTACCGCGAGGCAATAAAAATGACGAAACTCATTACGTTTTAATTCAAAGTTTCGAAATGCGTCGCCTAAGGCCATATATCAAAACCGGAATGACGTCCATATATCTTTCTTGTCAGTGTAGTTGTACATGTTGGTACATTTTTTATTCCCAAATTCATTATCCGCGACGCCGTAGCACCCATATTTCAGTTCGGATGATCGAATTTTATTTTATACGGACCAAGGCAGAAGTTCTGCTCTGCGTGCACAGGCGCGAGGATTTAATGTTATGCAATATATATACGAAATTTTCCATTCAGGCCGTATGAGAAATGACAAGTGATTTCACTGAGGTGGACAGGTACAAGCGTATATGTTTAAATTAAATGTAGACGAGAGATCAGGTCCGAAACATAAAAATATGATAAGGACAAATTAAATATCTATCCAATTTCTAATTTTTATGCAAAAGTCTATTTTTGGCACCACAGAATAAATTGCATTGTGTGTATGTATTATACACTTATATTTTTGAATAAATAGACATAACAATACTAAATATGAACATTAATTTAATAATTACCAACCCCATGAATTAATTTTAGGCCCATTTATTAACTTTCTGAGGGAGAAATTAATGTTCTTTACATTTTTTATGTTATTTTTACTTTTTCAGTCAATCTGTACCATTTCCAGAATTGGAAAAAAACAATATGTTAATGTATGAGTAATGAGCCAAAAAACGACTTTCGATTTCTCAAACACGGCTGCACCGATTCATAAAATGACAAAACGCTATAAGAACTCGCCTTAATTAAAAAATTATAAAATTTAAAAGCCATAAAAACTCGCTCTTTAGAATTAGCAGAAAAAAGTGAAAATTGATGACCACGTTTTCGCCAAAGATTCTGAACCAATTTTGAATATTTAAAAACAAAAAACATTATAGAAATCGTGCTTATTAATTTTGCGAAATTTTGCAAAATTTTGTTGAAAAAAATTATTTGGCATTAAAAATTTGTATAAATTGATGATAGAGGACATGGTCTTAACGAACTTTCCAAAATACTGAATTTCTAATATGATTATAATATATTATAGTTATAATATTTCCAATAATAAATTGGAAATAAATCTATTGTAACAATTTTCAACTTGCTTTTCAGCAAAATGAACTTACATGCATGTGTAAATGAATATGTGTAACGAATGTATACCTCGAGGGGCACAACTAGTGTAACCGCCCAAAAAAAGGTGATTTTTGGGAATTTATATTAAAAAAACTACCTTATCAATCATTTCAAAATTTTAGGAATATATTTATACATGTTTTAAGAATACATAGTAAAATTTTTGGAGAAACAAATTAAATATTTTTTAAGTTATCGTTGATCTCCAACGGCGCGACAAAAAAAAGGCCCTTCACTGCGCAGTGATTCCGACCTTCTACGTGGATGAAATTTAAAAAAAAATCTCATTAAACTAGATAATATTGTTTGTAAAATAAGCTACGATAAAGAAAAAAATCAAAAATTGACAAAATGACGGCGTTTTTAAAAAAAGTCGAATTTTAAATTTTGGTCGTTTTTGGACTGCCAAAGTTCGATTTTTGATCCGATCAAAAAATCGATAGTTAATTTTACGGAGAACTATATATAGAACATGTAAAAAAATTTGATAGTGATTGGATCATTTGTTTTTGAGTAATCGCTGCAGCAAATTCAGAAAATGCTGTTTCGAGAAAAACGCGTTTAAAGATTAAATGATCGTTATACTTTATACTATATATATACTCTTTAAATGGCTAACTCAAAAACTATTTAAGGTATCGATTTAAAATTGTTATGATATTTTTAAAGGTATAACCTATCGAAATATGGAAAAATTGAAAATTCGATTTTTTGAAAATTTTACACTAGTTGTGCCCCTTAAATATCTCAAAACATTCATAAAAATATCTAAAATTCGTATAGAAATCAAACTTTTGCAAGGTTACTGAAATCTAAAATTAATGCGTTTTAAATTTAGACATGCAAAAGAATCAAAATGTTCTTTCTGAAACTCAAATAGCAAACCGCATTATTAATAATTTTATATTCCCCAGAGAATAATATAGTTTAAATACATTCTGATAGTTTTTGCTAAAACTTGCGTGTAGATAAAAGTTTTAAAAGTGCAATTAAACTTGCAAGAATGCACTTAACTTCTAAAGTATCTAGATTACAAGTGGATTTAGCAGGATTACCCTATGGGGTAAATACTATAGCTAATGCTACGATAATGTTTAATAATAATTCCATGATTATGATTAGAAAAGTTAATTTGATATATAAATAAACAGCCAATCCAAGGTTTTGCGCAAGGGAACCGAGGGGGAGTCAAATACATATTTGCTCCTGGGTCTATTTTTAAGTTATGATATTTACAATAATGCAATGTTTATCATCCTCATATCAAATTCGATTGTGAATAACGGGATATCTTATATAATCCTACCTGCTAGCACCATCATTAATATGACGAGAGTCGATTCCTTTCCGCAATGCATTTTGAATATCCTTCAGCTGCGGTAACTGTTCACAAGGTTGTTCCACGTCTATGGCACTAGAGTTCAAACGACACTTGATTTTACTCACAAACTAACTCGAACATGACGGCTTTCATCTGGAAATTCACTTCAGAATCCAACATGAACATGTGAAAATCGTTTAATGAGATTTCCCTACGCCGATTTCCGAATTTCACTCACTTTTGTTAATTAGAAAGGTATCAGTTATCAATATTGCAGTCATATCAAATAGAAGAAATGTTGTGTTGATATGGTTTGAAATGAATCTGAAAATTTTAATGGAAAGATTAGAACTGGTCGAAGTTTTGCAATTGCGTAATAATAGTAGTAGTCTTGGCGAGATGATCAAAAAATTATTCAAAAACATCGATGGCGACAGTATTAAAAAAAAAGAGATAAAAAAAATTGATTAGATAATTTAGTAGCAGGAGAAAAATTGTATATAATAATGAGTGCTCCGCCACAGAGCAAAATAATGAGCTGATTGTGAGCTAACAACTCGAAAAATAGTGTTAGATTTCCCATTGCCATTTAACACCGTAGTGCCTAAAATAGCCATTTTCAGTTGTAAGCATATTTTTTATCTGTATCTCCAAGTGATAATTGATATCAATACTGCGTGATAACATGTAGTACATAGCGGGGGTTAAAAAAAAAATAAAATAAATATGGTATATTTGCAGATGGATAATCAAGATCTCGTATTCAACATAGCTATTCAAATAAAATTAAATATGTATTAGACAATTGCTTGGAAAAAAATGTATAAATATATATTTTTATGAATCTTTTTGTTAATAATTTTAACTAGCAAGTAGTGTTAGATTAGAGATTTTTCATTGTCATGAATGGCTATTTTCAGTTGGAAACATATGTTTGATTTGTATGTTCAGGCGAAAATTGATTCACTTCTGTAAGATACCAGGATGTCCAGAAACGGATTTTGAAGATATGCTATGATAAGTATAATTTGAGATTGATAATCAAAATATTCAACAGAGCCATTCAAATAAAATTAATTATGTATTAGACAATTGCTTGGAAAAAATATATAAATAAATATATATTTTTATGAATTTTTATGTTAATAATTTTTATCTAACAAGTAGTGTTAGATTAGAGATTTTCCATTGCCATGAAGGGCTATTTTCAGTTGGAAACATATGTTTGATTTGTATGTTCAGGCGAAAATTGATTCACTGCTGTATGATACCAGGTTGTCCAGAAACCGATTTTGAAGATATGCTATGATAAGTATAATTTGAGATTGATAATCAAAATATTCAACAGAGCTATTCAAATAAAATCAATAATGACTAACACAATTGTATAGGAACAAACATACAACTTGATATAATTTTTGTATGAATTTTTATGTTAATAAATTTTATATAACTGCCCGACTTCTGATATTATCGTTGCGCAATTGCAATGCAGTATTTTATGAAACGAAAAAAATAAAATATTCTGAAACGTATAATTCTAAATTTCGATCTACTTCCAGAAAGCACACTTTTTAATAATATCAATTAATTTTATCACGTGGTTCACAATTTGAGTTACCTTTATCACGATTGTTTAATTTACATTATCAGTTTTACTCACTATTAATTTTAGATTATCATTCTATTTATTAGGATTTCATGTTCGATGAAATCTTGATTTTCATAACGCGCGTAAATAATATTCGACTGAATATTTGCAGAACACGATACGACACGTGCACCTCGAAAGCCTAAGGGAAACTGAGGCATAAAACTTCCAAATCTACTACGCAACCCTCTGGCGCCACTTGTCCGGTGGCGGTTTTGGATTTCGTGTTTTATGGTAATGGAATATTTAATTCTATGATTATTTGTTATTATAAATATGTCAAATAAATTTATTAAAAAAAATTGTATCAATTTGGAATTAATATAAAGTTACTGAAGACCATCATTAGGGGGCGTCCATTAATCACGTGAGGTTTTTAGGGGGAAGGGGGGTTTGACAAAATATCACGAAATATCACGTGAGGAAGGGGGGGTATGGTAAGATATCACGTGTATTAATTTTTTAACTGATTTTTTTAAAAAAATTCAAACACTTTCAAAAAAAGAATCAAAAATTTTTGTTTTTTCACGTAACTAAAAATACGCGTAATGTTTGGTGGGGGAGGGGGGATTTTTCTGAATATCACCACGTATCACCAAGGGGGAGGGGGGGTTAAAAATCCTTAAAAACTCGCTCACGTGATGAATGGACGCCCCCTTATGTGTTCTCACCGGTCTCTCAATAGTTCTCACAACTATTAAACAATATTTATAACATTTTATTAATCACTACTTTATGATACCAAGTTTGTACCGTCTGATAGTACCGATAGTAAGTTAGAAGTTGTTCTCCTAGATCGTCAATTGAGTTACAAAAAGTTGCAAATTTGAAAATTTATCCTTCAATAATCAATTTTCTCAATATATAATACAAATTCAGCATGTTTAATTCGGGTATTTACAAAACACCACAAATAAAAATATAGAATGCATAAGTTCCACTTGCATTGTATAATTTGAGAGTAAACCGTACTGCCCATTATTCGCAAAAAATCATAGCTTACAAAAGTGGTAAACAGAAGAAAATTTATATCAATATTTCCTTTATTCATATAAATTTTTCACACAATCATAAATAATGTGAAATAAATCACTGTTTTTTATCACTGTATTGATATAACATCAATATAATAATCTTTTTTTAAATGTTGTTTATCCCATTCTTTATAGTTACATACAGTTGTTATTCTAAATTATGAATATTTTTCATAAATTATTTATACCTAAATCATTCTAAATATTATTTACAAAATTATAACATGAAAACTTATTTAGATATTGCCATATTTGTAAAATAATAAAAAATAAATTCTATTTTATTTACAAGTCTGTAAATATGTCAAAATATATTTGCATCTAACCACCGAAGGCAGTAATTATTAAGTCGTTCAAATTTTAAAATATGTGCAGCGGTCACTGTTGCACTCTTACTGATGTAGGTCTTGTATCCTCTGCCTCGCGATGTGGTGGTGTCGTTTTTTGATTTTGATTAGTTTGAGCTGGTTTGCGCTCGTATTTGGGTTTTTCAGATCCTTGGACACATTGTTCTGTTATATGAACACTATTTACATCACTGCCAGGAATTTCAAACATCGGTTCAAGCAATAATGACTCCTATTAAAAAAATTTGATGCTATTATATATTCAAACACTTTAATTAAATATTTCAACAAAACACAACATTCATAACTATTTCTTGATTATTTATTTAGATTACAATTAATTATTAATTTATTAATTTTGATACTTATTAATTTAGATACAATACCATTATTGCTCGTAATCCTCTTGCACCAGTTTGTCTCTCCATCGCTTGACTTGCAATTGCTTGCAGAGCAGAGTTGCTGAAGCTCAACTCACACCTATCCATAGCCAGTAAAGCTCTGTATTGAGGAACCAATGCATTTTTTGGTTCTGTTAGAATTCTCACTAACATACTTGTATCTAGACTATGGAATGGAACAAGAACAGGAAATCTTCCCACAAACTCCGGTATCATACCAAACTCCACCAAATCTCTAGCTTGAACACGTTTTAAACTAGCATCTCTCTCAGCCATATCTTCATCGATGCCTTCCCCAACTTTTTGTGCAGCTCTACGTCCCTGTGATGTAGCAGGTGGGCACCCAAACCCAAGATATTTTTCATTGTGTCTTCGGGCAATTAGTTTATCAAGACCTGGAATAAGAAGTAATATTTTATAAATTGAATTATTATTATTTATAGAATGTAAGAGATAGTTAATTAAATACTAACTTAACAATAAATATAAAAAGTACTCATTTTAAATTATTTACCTGTAAATGCACCAGATGCTACGAATAAAATATTAGTCGTATCAACTTGAACAGTTTCACCACGCAACTTTCTTGGTGAGTTTCTTTCCGGAACATTCACAACAGTTCCTTCTAACATTTTCAACATCCCTTGCTGAACACCTTCCCCTCCAACATCTCGTAACTGATGAATTCCGGGCACTGCCCCAATCTTATCAACTTCATCCAAAAACACTATTCCTGTCTGAGCACGTTCAACGCTTTTTGACAAAAATTATATAATAAATAAAGATTTACATGATAATTGAATAATCAGCATAAATACATAGAAGGATACAGAGTACATAATATCAGCTGCATTATATTAGGTGCAAATATTCTTAATCAAATATTCTTCATATATTTACATAACTATAGCAAGATTTTAATTTTTTGGCTATAAATATAAAACATAAATAAAATCTAAAATAAAAGTTGGCAAGTACTGCAATAACAGTCATGGATGATATGTACACATATAATTCCCACATTTGAGTTTAGTATTTGAAAAATAAATAAAAATGTATGCCTAATCATCTTCAGCATACTCAAGGTTAAAAATGTCAAATGGCAGTCATAACAAAAACAAAGTAGAATATAAAAATAACCTGAAATTAGCATCTTGAAGCAATTTTGCTATCACACTCTCTATATCTTCTCCAACATAGCCTGCTTGTGTAAGAGTAGTACAATCGCAAATAGCAAAAGGAACATCCAAACATCGAGCTATTGTCTGGGCAAGCAAAGTCTTTCCTAATAAATAAGATTTAAATCTCCAATACCAC